AGAAGTGGAAGGGGAGGTAATTGCAAATCAAGAGGAAATTGCTAGAACCTTTGTCAATCACTTCAAAAATCTATATGGAAGACCTTTGGCTGAGAAGCTACCCTTGGAAGGATTGGATTGGCCAAGACTAGGCAATGAAAAAGCTTGCTAGTTGGAATTTTTTTTTTCTTGATCAATAACACCAGATTCATTAAAATAAAAGAAAAGAGGGAATATGGATACAAAAGGGAAGATAAAATATCTTAGCTCCCCAAAAACAGAATAGAAAGGGAGTACAAAGAGAAAAAATTAAAAACTAGCCCAAAATACAGACTCCCTATTCACTCCTTGCTTGGCCAACCCATCCGCAAATGAGTTGGCACCCCTCTTCACCCAGCTGTACTGAATCTCAATGTCCCTACCCAGCCATAAGAATTGTTTTTCTTCATTGTTAAAGTTCCACAAACCACTGTCCTCTTTCTTCAACCAACTAACAACCACCTTTGAATCAACTTCCAGGATCAAACGGCTGATATTTAATTCCTTTGCTCTTCAAATTCCTTCAAGCGCTGCAAGGATCTCAACCCTAAGAGAGTCACCTTCTCCAATAGGGCCAGAGAATAGAGCAATAACAATCCCTTCCTCATTCCTGAAAACTCCTCCAATCCCAGAGGGCCCTGGGTTCCTCACACTGCTGCCATCAAAATTCAGCTTTATAAAGCCCAAAGGGGGAGGGGACCAAGACAGACAGAGAGTCCTCTTGCATCTATCAATGGAAGCAATCTCTTTCCAATTTCTTAGCAAGTCATCCACAGGAAAATCTAAAAACAACTCCAAAGATTTTAGCCAGTGGACAGCCCTTAAAAGGGATAAATTTGGATAATAGAGAAGTGGAGGCAATTGTAGGGTGCTTAGATTGTTTTGAAGCCACTTCTTGGCCCATGACCTACCAACCTAGTACTTCCTTTAGGGGCAAACCCTAGGGAGAGCAGCTTTTGGTGCCCAGATTTGGAGAAGTTCAAGAAGAGATTGGATTCTTGGAAAAAGAATTAGATCTCTTTGGGGGGTAGGATTATCCTAATTAGAGCCACCCAATCTAACCTACCAACTTATTTCTTGTCAGCCTTTAGGATTCCTTCTAGAGAAGCTAAGAAGATAGAAAAGTTGATGAGGGACTTCCTTTGGGAACCGGGGGGAAGTAAGAAGGATCATCTGGTGAAGTGGAAGGTGGTATGCAAGAGTAAAGAAGAGGGAGGTCTAGGAATAGGGAATCTGATGCAAAAAAATATGGCTTTGTTGGGAAAATGGCTATGGAGATGGCCATTAGAGAAAGAAAGATTGTGGGTTGAAGTGATAGGAAGTATTCATGACCACTCGAAGAGCAGATGGGATGTTGGGGTCTCTCAGAGGGCAACTTGGCAACACCTTGGAAGGCAATTCACAGCGTTCTCCCTCAACTCAACAATTTTCTCAAGTATGATGTGTGTACTGAAAATTCAGTTCTCTTTTGGGAAGATATCTGGGTTGAAGAGGCTCCTTTGAAGGACCTCTTTCTGTCTTTATACACTATCTCCCGGTACAAGAAATAGCCTATTTCTTTTTTTTTCTCCCCTTTGGATTCTCCGTTGACTCCAGTTTGGGACTTTGAGTTCCGACGATGTCTAAGGGATAAGGAGATTGTGAGTCTTACTTGCCTATTGACTACCCTTGAAAAAGTTTGTTTGGACCCCATGGAATCAAATAAAAGGCTTTGGACTCTTGTACCCTTGGGTAGCTTTTCTTGTGCCTCCTTCTCGAAAGCCCTTTGTTATTCATTTTCTGCTCCTCCTTTCCCTTTTAAGGAGGTTTGGTGCAAACCTGTTCCCCCTAAGGTCTTGGCTTTCTGTTGGGAAGTGGTTTATGGGAAAGTAAACACCTTGGATAATCTACAAAGGAGAAGACCCTATCTCTGCATTTCACCCAATTGGTGTACCCTTTGCAGATCCCATGGTGAGGACTGCAACCATTTGCTAATTTCCTACTGTTACAGCAGATTTGTGGGATTGGCTCTTCTTGATTTTTGGATGCTGGTGGAATAGGCCAACAGATGTAAGCTTACTTTTTGACCCTTCTACCTTTGCTTTGCGCCATCGAAGAGGAAGAATAATGKGGAGGGTTCCAAGAGTAGCATTGCTTTGGACAGTGTAGGAAGAAAGGAATGCCCAAATATTCCAAAAGAAGGTGTGAAGCCAACAAGATTTGAAGGACTGTATCTTGTATAGGGCTATAGTGTGGCTAAAATCTTCAGAGTTATTTTAACAATTTTCTTTTAATGACCTGCGGTGGAGGCATTGGGCAGAAGTGTCAAGCAGTTCTTCATTGAAGACAAAGTTGCACATGAACTAGGTACCTCCACCTAAAGGCTTCCTGAAATTAAATTTTGATGGGAGTAGCTTGGGCAACCCAGGCCCTTCTGGGATTGGAGGGATTATAAGGAATGGTAGTGGTTCTGTTGCTCTTCTTTTTTCAGGTCCTTTAGGTGAGGGGGACACCATGAGGGCAGAACTTTTAGATGCACTATAAGGGGTACAGTTTGTTGTATAGATAGGAGTGGAGCAGCTACTAATAGAAGGTGATTCTAAGGTGGTCATGGGGTGGTTACAGAATCCAGAGACTGTAGTGTGGTGCTTCAGAAGGTGATTCTAACTTGTATTTTAGAATACAATGGGTAGGGAGATCTGCTAATGCTATGGCTAACTGTTTAGCCAAGCAAGGGGCAACGAGGGAACATTTGTATTGGGCTCAGTTGTAATCTTTTTTAAGTTTTTGTAGGGTTGGAGAGATCGCAGCTCATACCTCTCCAAGTGTCTCCTGTAAAAGTTGCTTCTATTTTCTTTCTCTAATAAATTCTTCATTTATCAAAAAAAAATGAAGAGGAATCTATCTAACTTCAATAAATGGGTTTTCTTAGAAGTTAGAGCAAGTGAAATAGTTCGTAGGTCGTAGCAACGAGAATTCCTTTAACTCACAACTATTAATGAACTCATTGAATTTCCCCATACTAGCTGTAATAGATAGTTAAGGGATTACTAGATTCACTGGTGAACCTGATTACATTAAAATCTCCACCCAAACACCAAGGACCCTACCATAACCCTTGAATTCCATATAACTCTTCTCACATCTTATTCCTCTCTACAATTATTTGACCAATACACATTGGTTAACAACCATGTAAATCCACCCTCCACCATCCTAAACTTTAGGGATATAGAAAAGCTACCTATCAATTCCTCCACTGCCTCTACAACATCCTCTCTCCAAAGAGTAACTATATACCCCCAGAGGCTCCCCAAGAAGGAGTTGAAATCGAACTCACACCTCTTGATTTCCACACACTTTTGGCCCATCTTCCATCCAGTTCTACCAACTTGGATTCCTGTAACATCACAATATCAGGTCTTTCTCTTCTGAGTAAATCCTTAATTAGATCAAGTGAAAATAGTTTGCTAACTTGAAGTTTTTTTTTTTGATAAGTAATGAATTAACTTATATATTATATATTCGCATAATCTAAACTTGAAGATTCGTTACATATATAATATATATTTGCATGACCTAAACTTAACATGCATTTAGTCAGAAGTTAGAGACAAGAAAATGGAAAAAAGTGAAGACGCTATTGTACCAGCAACATTCACACTCAAGCTCGGGAGGTCCACCCTTCTGACAGCCAACAAACAAAAGTGAATGGTGTAATTTGGAAGTTGCACAACTTCACCTTGGAATATGCACTTTAGTTGCTTTTCTCATGGAACTTTTTTTGTCAGTTTTTCTTATGGAACTCAACTGAGGATTATTGATCAATGAACTACCGATCAGAAAGTATTTAAAGATCAAACTAAATAAAAGAGACCCACATGAAGTAAACAATATCACCTCTACCTAATATTGGTCAAAAAACAAAAATCGTTACTAGTTAATGATGAAAATAATGACAGTACATTCACATACAGATAGAACGACTGAAAATACATGGATAAAAGAAATATAACTCTCATCGTTCACGTTCGTTAATAAACAAGCTAAAAGAAATCCTGGATTTTACCTAAACCCAATTATGCAGATTAAGATCTTATTGATGTAACACAAAACCAATGGAAGAAATGAAAGGGAAAAAAGAATTTTGCATACCATAAGAGCATTCAAATCCTGAAAAGCTTCCTGCAAGCTCTTATCTGTACTCTCCCACATCTCCTGCTCCTTCCTGAGAATCCCTGAAACTCCAGCCATTCTCACTCCGCTCGACCCCTCGAAAAACCCACTGCTATTCTCCCTTGAATCAGAGCGTCCTGGATTTGAACTCGAAGCTTCCCACGACCTAGAACTCCAGGCATCCCGAAGTCGACTATAAAATGAATCGAGATCCGATTTCCCTCTCAAAACAAGTGCGATTACAATCGCCGTTGATCCTCTCTCATCAATCCTCCCATCGGCCGTAGCAGAAACCTGAAGTCTAACTTTGCTTTTACCAAACATGGTTTTGATCGATTTACTTGGCGAATATATGTGATTTACAGCACCGAGAGGGATGGCCGCTGCACCTGATTTATTAGTTCCGTCAATCCATAGAATTCGGTGGGTTGTAAGAATCAAAACTCCGGATCTGAAAGGAGGAAAATTAGGTTTTTCTTCACATATTATATCGACAGAGGAAAGTGTATAACATTCGACTTCGCCAGGATGAAGGACCGGCCTGCCGCTGCCGGTGAGCTGAGCCTCCAGAAGCCATCTTCCGGCCATTGGATCGACAGAAAGCTTGTGTTTCCGTTCGCCGGGAACCGAGGAAAGATCTTAATTAAGGGGTCAGYAACTCGGTGACAAAGTCGCCTGTACTTGGTTTTTGGACAAATACCCCCTGAACTTTAGCCGTTAGACAAAGAACCCCTTGGATGATGAAAAACGTTAAATTACCAAAATACCTAACTAATCTTTTTCTATTTTCTTTTTCTTGCCCTTTTTCTCTTAAAACCTATTTAACCTATTGTTTTTTTTTTTTTTTGAGTTTCACTTTACATACCATGATTATGGCTGATGTAGGCGCATTCAGTTGGCTTGTACAAGGCTGATGCGTGTCAAATGGAGGATGCCCGCATAGGCTTACCATGAAGATGCTCAGGGTTACCTGACGCGGACCCAGTCATAGGGCGCTACATGGCACTGGCAGAACATCTTGTCAGGCCCTCATACAGCTCGCATCTGGACCATCCGAGCCCAACTACCCCCTGGCAACTCTAGCAATAAATGCAAGGCACCCCACAAAGTAAGGGATTCGACTCAAAATCTTTGTGATCTCTAGCGCTCTCTCCACTAAGGACTTAGCGTTATCTGAGGCCTCGTCTGGACCCCTCGGCTCCAGACTCATCACTTACCTCGTGCACATACTAACTTGATCATCGAAGTCCTCGCCTCCGGTAAGCACCCAAGGCCTCTGACACCTTCTCCCTTACAGGTTCATAACTATGGTAATCACGCCTCGTCCTCCCTCGGACACCCTTCTTGGTACAAGCCCTCGGTTTCTACAATATCATCCCAAGGAGCGATACGCCTCGGCCTCAGCTTAACTCCCTGGGACCCTCAAAGCCTTCGGCCTTCCCTTGAGGCCTGGGAGTGAAATTACTTTGTTTCCCTCGGCCAAGCCGAGCATCAACAATTGGCGTCGTTTGTGTGAAATGTTGCTAAGACAATCCCTCAAAACACTACAAGCTCGAGATCTCCTAAAGCTTTAAACACCATGGTACGAAGAGCTAGGAACCCCCAAAACCTGGTCACGAGTGAATAGTTCCAAGCTGTCCTCGACCGCCTGGAATACCTCACGCAACACATGAAACAAGCCTATTCCCAAGTAGGAGGTCCCTCCCGAGGCGACTACCCCACCAGGGTGTCAGATCACCAGGGTCGACATGAGCATGTCGAGCCCCTAGCACTTGGCCTAGCCAACCCCCAGCGGGCTGAGCCCACCGAGTCTGGCAGCAGTCGACCAGCCAGCCCACCACGAAGGAACGAAGGACCTCCCAGCCGAAGGGAGGAAAAGTCGGCGCAGTCTGAAGACAACCGCCAACCTTCGGAGCAACATCATCATCGCCGGAGGGAGAACCCCCAGGATGAGGGCAGACATCTCGTCCATTGTAGTGCCCACTCAAGGGCTGAGGGCCGACGTCGCGCCTCCCCCGCACTGGTCTCAGACCACTGCAACATCCTAAATGATCGTTGCGCCAGACGGGAGGCGTGCGGTCCTGTCTTGGAGCATTCTTGAGTTTGTGCAGATCCCCACCATGCTCGCGAAGACAAAGATGGGTGGCAAGCCCTAGCCGACCCTCGGATTGCTAAGCTGTGATCCAAGCTCGGGGCCGTCAAGGACAAGCTCCACCAAGTCTGAGAAAGCCGAGTTGATGCCTCGGCCAACCAATGCAATCTGACGGGGAGAATGGATGCCTTCACCCCGTATATCATCTCCAAGCCTCTCCCCCAGCACTTTAAGGCCTCTACACTGGACTGTACGACGGGACCTCAGACCTTGACGACCACCTAGAAAGTTTCAGAGTGCTCATGATACTTTACGAGCATTTCGACACCTTGATGTGCCAGACTTTCTTGGCCACCTTCAAAGGAGTCGACCGTCGTTGGTTCTCCGGCCTCCCACCTTGGTCAATTAGTTCACTGGAGCAGTTCGCCAATTTATTCCTCGCTTGCTTCATCAGCAGCAAGCGATGCTACAAGAGAGCCATCTCGTTGATGTCTATCAAGCAAAAGTAGGGAAAGAGTCTGTAGTCCTACATCGACTGCTTCAAAAAGGAAGAGCTCGAGGTCCGTGACCTCAGACCCATGGTCTCTATGCATGCTTCCATTAATGGACTCCGCGCTGGCTCGGCCCTGAAGTGCTCGGTTGCCAAGACCCCGCCGAAGACGAAACTAAAGTTCCTCAACAAGGCCCAAAAGTATATTGCGGCCAAAGAGGCTTCAGCCAGGGACCACCAAGAAAGAGAAGTCGAGTGCCACAATGGGCCCCCTGAGAAGAAGAGGAAGGGCGAAGACAACCACCACCACAACAACAATAGCAGCAAGGACCACAAGAAGCCACCAGCCTTGGCCCTGGCTTACAACCAATACACGCCACTCAATTCCACCCGGATGCAGATACTGATGCAGATCGGGGAAGAGAAGTTCATTAAGTAGCCCGAAAAGATGAAGAGGAACCCCAAGAGGGGAAATCCCAAAAAATATTGCAAGTACCACTGCCGTATTGGCCATGACACCGAAGATTGCTACGACCTGAAAAACGAGATTGAGTCCCTCATCCAACGAGGGCACCTTAAACAGTTCGTGGGTAGTGGACCTGGCTCACCAGCCCTTTAATCAGATTTGATAGTGTATGCCCTTAGCTCCAATCAGATTGATGTACTTGATAACATTTATTGTAAATGAATAAAAGTACATAATTGATTCATGTGTTTTGGTATGTTTCTGCGTAATACTCTTAAACTGGACACTTATGAGACTCGTGTTAGTTTAGAATCCTTACAGCCGTTTGATAGATCTCGGGAGATTTATCCTGCCAAGGCTGACACTGATGTGCCACCAAGTTGGTTGGGGTGGCTTGTCTTAGCTGCCAGGGTGAGACCTGAGGTACAATTAGTGTGTGTTTGTTGAAACATTGAACAAGGACCATATTCTAGTTATACCCTAGACCTTGGAG